GACAAGTGAAGAGATGCTAAGCCCCACACGTAAAAAAAATGGCTCAAGGATAAACCACATAACCACATGACTAGTTACCTGTAAGTGAAAAATGAAACTTGCCTCTATTGCAGCTGAACCATCACATTTCTATTCTATTCTATCCACCTTAGTGAAATTATTGAAAATGTGTTTGAAGACAGAAAGTCAAAAATAATTGAAGGGTTTTGTTCCAGTAACAACTGAAATACAATGGAAAGGACATTTTTAGTTCTCTAATACAAGATCATAATATTCATCATAATTTATCATAATATAGCATTGATATTGATTGTATGTTTAAAGCATACTGCCAACAACATTGTCCACAAATTCTGCAAATTGTAGTGCACAATATCTATTTATTTACTAAGGTTAACAAATTGGAAAAAAAAATAGTATAAACGTGCTTTAATTGTTTTCTGGCCCCATATTACCTTCAGCAAATGAATAATTATTGTGCATTAAAATGTGCAGTGAAGAAATGTGTTCTCTTTAGATGATGTGTCAACTTATATTTTGACAGGGGTGCCCAAACATTTGCATATGACTACATATAATTAAAACAAAAAGAGAATCTTTGAAAGTGGTCTAAAAAGTGTTTTGGAACGAAATTTCCGATGGATCCTGTTGAAATAAATTGCCTTGCTTTGTGTTAAAATGTCTTATTAACTATTTAATATCTTGAAATAATCACATACAAGCCATAGTTTACCAAGTCAAAACCTTGAGAAAATATAACTTGTGATTTGACCTAATGATTCAAAGTTTGAACCTGAAACAGAAGCATAAAAAAAACCTGGCAGAAACTGGCTTTCATACAAAAAGGTATGTAACCCAAACATATGGTTATATTGTGCTGTTCATATGTAAATTACAAAGTTGCACCTGTGTTCATTTGCATGGAAGTTCTTACCCCCTAAACTGGTCACCCCCACTGGTGCAAAATGTCGGTAGACTATTGGTAATTACCACCTCTCTTAGTAAATGTGCCCACGTGCGTTAAAAATCCGGTCGTGTGTTTTGCAAAGTCAAAGTACATGTGCTTATTTTTTAAGTTATCATTTATGTTCTACAGAATGTTTCAGAGACATTCTGGGACAACGCGCAGTTTGAAGCTGCCACTACAGCTGAGTGAAGATGAAAGAATGACAAGAATAGAAATGTTACAAGCCTCTCAAGGAAGTGCAGTGCTTCAGAGTACACATTGAGTCTTCATAAGGACTCCTTGAAAAAGAACAGTTCAGGCCAGTCGCAATTATTACATAATGTTTTAATCGCAATTATTTGGGAGAATCGCATTACTTTGCAATTACTTAAGCTAACTGCAATCATTTTCCAGTCATTAGATTTTCCAGTCATATTATGCAGCAACAAGAACGTGAATTAGATGTAATGTAAATAAAAGAAAACCAGTGAATGCATTAACTGAGACACATCACTGAAGTCATGAAAACAAGAAAAGTTCAAAGTTTGAAACTAAAACAGAAGCATAAAAAAAACCTGGCAGAAACTGGCTTTCATACAAAAAGGTATGTTTCTAGCTTGTATGCTAGCAAAATGGGTGGTTTTGCTTATATATTTACTTTCCCCAAAAAATCGCTTTGTTTGACACAGGATTCTGTGTAACAGTATTTGTGGGAGCGTTTGCAGTGTATCACTGTCATTACAACAAGTGTAAGAAAATACGGCAAAGAAGCAAGATGGCTAATCAGCTAATTTGGCCACTTTAGGCATATATTGCAATAGTTGTATACAACGAACAAAAAAGACAATCAACCTGTTATTTATAATTGCAATTATTTAAATGGCAATTAATCGTCAGCTAAAATTGCATGATGAAATACATAACTGGTTGCTGCTACAGACTCTCTTTAACTGGAGAGTAGGCAGAGCAGGTCAGCAGAAAGCTAACATGCTAAGGCACCAACAATAAAAGAGAGACTTCAAGTTCAAGCATTTACAGAAGGAGTTAATGTAATACTACAAGTTGCATAGTGAAGCATATTACTTGTATGCCTGTTACCAGCTTAAAATATCTGCATTTAAACTAGAGTTGACATAAAATTTGAAACCACACCAGTGGTAAACATAAAAAAAAATAGTAAATTACTAGATTTCTACATTACACATTGCTTCATAATAGGGCTGCAATAAATGACTAATTTGATAGTCGAATAATCTATCAATTACTGGAACAATTAATCGATTATTCAGATTATGAATTTTATTAGCTTTTAAATTTAGCTGGAGGTTGTTTTATACATTTGCTAACCAACAATGAAGACAATAAAGGTGAATAATCTAAATTTAAATTTTAAATTTAACGAGTGCAGTCTGTGCTCTGTGAATTCTGCTGTCTACACTTTGCTGCAACTAAATTCTATAAATCACAGGTCTTTATGGAAACGGAGTAAAGTCAGTATCTGCGTGCTCTTGTGAGAGACATGCTCTGATGGAGCGGATGGGAAAGTGGCGAACGTCTGCGGCAAACTTGTTCTCTATGAACAGTTAAAATTGACTCTGTGTAAACATTTCTTTTGAATGGTAACCCTTCGTCCAGCTACCCTGTGTGTTCGAAAAGAACTACCTCCTTAAACTGTTAGCGAGTGATGACCAACGTTCGCGGAGAACAGAAAACTATGTAAACGCTCTCCTGTGTTCGTCGAATTTGAACGCTAAGACAACGATGCAGTGCTTCAAAGTGTAAACGTTATCTGGAAAGTGAACAGAGTCGCTGTGAATAATAGTTACTTCTCTCTTCCAACTCCATTAACGATTCAAGAGAACACGCATTTCAAAATAAAAAAAAATGTTACAGCTCGGTTCAGAACATGAAGTAGGACGGAATTTAACATTAACATTAGCTAACTAGCTCGCTAGCACAACTATCGCCGCGTCCCGAACCACACACTTCTGTACTTCACACACTACACTAATGAGTGCACTTCTAATGGTAGCTGCGCTTTTTTACACACCATTTAGTGTGCTAGTGTGCTAGTATGCGGTTTGGGACGCGGCGTACCTTACCTAGATGAATCCTCTTTATTCAGTGAACCGATGTGTTTCTTCTTCAGATGCTCCAACATGGAAGATGTGCTCCCATGCCAGCTAAGCTCGGCTTTACAAATAGCACAACTACGACCTTTTTTCTGAGTTTAGCTCCCACACTTTTGAGGATCTTGAGGCTGCCATCGCGCTGTTGTAAACTCTCCAGTGAGCGGTAATGTCAGAACGTTCCTAGTGAGCACGAGAAAGACGCGTACTGACCTCACCAACTAATCGACTATTAAATTAGTTGCCAAGTAATTTGCTCGTCGATTTTAGTCGCCTAAGTCGAATAATCATTGCTCCCCTACTTTGTAATGGCATACTTTTCAATGACTTTTTAATGACTGCACCTCACTCTCACTGGAAACAAAATATAAAGTTAAAATGACTTTATTACTGTAAGTAATTTGTGTAGGCTATGAACAGAATCCTCTGACTTAAGTGTTTATCTCATGCAGGTTCAGGTTTCTGTTGGCAGATCAATTCCAGTGCATTCAAGCATCTCAAATATAAAGATTATTTACAATTATTTCCATTCATCCATTCTCATATTTCCATTACGTTAGGATGTTAACATATTGTCTGTTTATGTTTTCATAGAAGTTCGGTCCATAAGTGGCCCAAAGCATCAATTCAATTCCATTCTACTTTATATATTTACACTTTCTGGACAGGCAATAGTGTAATAGTCACTAGGTCACCTCTGCCATATCACTAAACTAGATTTCACCACACTGTGATAGAACTGGTTCATGATTCAGTCTGTCATGCATGTTCCCATAACAGCATTATCAACAACAAATAGCACTCAGTTCACCCGGACAGACAGGCTTCAGTACAACACCACACACATAAAGTGTGATTCTAAGAAATACACGGAGATCAGACATGCCATATTTGGTTTAACAACAGAAAACTAGTCCAGCAACTGAGAGAAAATAGGCCAAATCTCCAACATGTTGGAACAATCATACCAAAACCTTTGTATCTTTTTTTAGGTGCTTGGTTTTTTTAATACCATTGGAAAACTCCAGCTGCCCTTTACATTAAGTGAGCATTTCATGAGGAAAAGACCAACAGCAATGATACAAAAATATTTGGAATAAAATCTTGTTACATTAATAAGCACTAAAAAGCCCATATCATGGACAACTTAATTTTGTTCAAGTTTCAAAACACACCATTCACTCCCCAGTCCATACAGACCATAAATGGAAAGTAGGTTGACAGCCCAATTTGAATTCACTGTTTTTGTGATGTCACGAAAACCAACACGATACAGTTTAGCCTCGCCCATTCTGATGTTATAAGGAGTGTTTTTGTAACGAGGCACAATACAGGGCAGCTTGTATCTCATATATATATATATATATATATATATATATATATATATATATATATATATATATACACACACACAAATATCAGTCCAGAGACATAAAACCACACAAATGTACCAAAGGTGACGTCAGGGGAAGAAAATAAAATACAAGAAAAATGGAAGGTATGGGCCTACATCTAAAGTTAACAACATTTCATTCTTTCTCCTGAAAAGTTATCATTACAAGCTTTTGTTATGACATTTGTTGAATTTGTTGTGAGTCGATGTATCCCATTACAGAATCTAAGAATAATAGCAATGAAATAAATCCAAGAGTATCTTTAGTTAATATGCACAGTAACTGCACATGAAAGAGAGACTGAATAGGTAAGGGGAAAGAGACATAGAGAGAGAGAGAGAGAGAGAGAGAGAGAGAGAAAGAGAGAGAGAGAGAGATGCTTGAGACAAGAATAAGGGAACAAGTTGAGCATGACACATATATCCAGTGGACAGAGAGAAGAACATGGCTGGACCACACCACACAACCGAAGACTAAGAACGACACACATACACACACACACACACACACACAGAGGAGGTTCATACTCACTGTGTCTGTGGTTCGATTCCCAAGGCAACCGAACTGCTAGGAGTCCGTTTATGAGGGTGTATGTGAGTGTGTGCTGTCCTCAGCACCATACGGTGTGATCCTTCTCCACACACACACTTGTGCTCACACATGCGGCCGAAAGGCAAGCCTGGTGATGACTATGCAGCCCAGAGGCATCGCACACAGTCGTGAGGAAGAGGAGGATGACTGGAAGGAGGAAGATGCCCATCTTTGGTGTCCCCGCGTGCTGGAACAGGGAGGGAAAAAAAACAGCTTCCTCTGCTTCTCTCCACCTCTCCAGAGGAGGCAGGTGTGGGCCTGATTATAACCCACCTACAGAGCCTCTGGCTGGGCTACAGAAACAGCTTCTTCCCCCTCCCCTCACCACTCAGCTCTAGAAAGATCCACACCTCGCTTCAGCTTCACCCACATCTGCTTGCTCGTCCACACACACACGCACACGCCTTCTCCAATATGCGCGCGTGTGTGTCGTCAGCGTGCTGGCTGCAGTGTATCCACTGGCACTGCTGATCGCTCTGATTCCTCCTTTCCTGATGCCACTGCTTTCGTCACACACACTCTCTCACACACACTCTAGTGGTTGCTGCTGACACGCTCACACACACCCCTAAGCATGTCTCACACACACAGTAGCGCTGCATAAGCAGAAGGCAGAGTGGCAGCTGCATCTCTCTCTATTCCTTTACTCCCTCATTCTATTTTCCTTTCATTTCTCTCTCTGTATTCATTTACTCCCCTATTTTCTCTCTTTATTCCTTCATTCACTCTCTCTATTCCTTTACTCTCGCTCTTTCTGTATTCCTTTACTCATTTTCTCTCTATTTATTCCTTGATTCTCTCTTCTTTCTTTCCACTCTTTTATTCTCTTTGTATTTTATTCCTCTGTTCCTCTATTCTCTTTTCTGCTATTCTTGTTCTCTATTCCTTTTTCCCCTCTCTCTCTATTCTTTTATTCCCTACCTCCCTCCGTTTTTCCTTTTTTCCTTCTCTCTATTCCTACTCTACTCTCCATCACCATCTTTTATCTCTCTCTCTTTGTTCCCCCTCTCTGAGTATTCGTTTACTCTCACTCTCTAGATACAGCTTGTTAAAGCAGACAATAGCAATCTTTTACCTTCTTGTCACTGCCAAAGCAAATCTCATCCTCTCATTCTCCCTCTCACTCTCACAGCTTACTGTGCTCTCTCTCTCTCTCTCTCATGGATCCACCCCTCCCCCTGCTCCCTCCATTCTCTATTGCTCACTCTACTGATCCTGTTATCTGCTCTCTCTCTCTCTCTCTCTCTCTCTCTCTCTCTCTAGCACCATGGACAGCTCTAAGTGAGCACTGAGCTTGAGAGGGGTGGAAAGGTTAAAGAGTAACCTAGGGAGAGGAAGGGAGGGGTATTTGCCTATTAGGGATATTTTCCTGTGTGTGTGTGTGTTTGTGTGTGTTTAGAAGGACAACTCTCTCCCAGGGGTGTGACCTCATTCCGCACGACGTTATCGTCACAGCAACCATACTCAGCTTCATCTGTTGGCAAAATACTCAACAGGTAGCCAGGAACGTGTGTGTGAGACTCTGGGCTGTTTGTGTGCACTTCTCTGAGCAGGGATGCTGAAGTGGGGGGTGCTGAGGGAGCAGATTCAAGATTGCTTAACAGTGACTGCTAAAAATAATAAAGTAAAAAAATGAGCATTCAAATAATTTAAGCCTAGTAGAAATGTGTGCTTGCATTTTCATTATGGCAAGCCAAACTGTTGGCCACTTTGGGGACCTTAAAACACACTAATATTGTTTTTTAAACAACTTAAAATGCAACTAACACAATAATGTCTAATGTTTTTAATGAAGCTGAAGCAGTTGGTTTTTCACATTTGCACTGAACCTTCAGCATGTAGCTTCATTATGGTTGTGATACAGTTGGTATATATATATATATATTCTGTAGATGACGATTCAAAAAATGGCAATCATGTTCTCCATAGGCAAAACCACCCAGAGCTCCTAATACAGGCATGATGCAGGCTACAGAATGAGGCACAACTTCAGAGGTCTGTTAGAGCAGAGTAAGCATGGTGTCCATCAGTGATTTGATGTGTCAGTTACATGTGCATCTTGTCTCTAACCACACTGCAGCAAAAAAAATCATTTGAATGGTGTTTTTGTGCACAACCCGAGTGGACTAAATTGTTGGCACCCCCAATTTAAAATGCCTTCCTGCATTTCTGTCTCTAACTGTTTGTGCATGTGTACCTAAACTGCAGATACAGAGGGCTGTTTTGTTTTTCTCTCCACTCCATTAACTCCTTTGCAGACACATACACATACACACACACACACACACACACTCTTGGTGCTAATAATGCCAGCTGTACAGTCCAGTACAGTCTCATAAATCTGAGACCCTAAGTCCAATTAGGCCTTTTGGTGTGTTTGTGTGTTTTCCACATTCCTTTTTCTTCTTTCAAAACACCCTGTGAGAAGAGACAGTGTGTGCATCTGTGTGCATGTTTTGTGGCTGTGTGGTTTGTAAGTGTCAGTGTAGGGCGAATGTCTGACTGAAGCATTTCGTGCATCAATCAAGCCCTCCCTCATGACATCATCAGTTTTCTCCCCTTGAACTCTGTGAACTGCACACACACACATGGGATTTGGTCATGAGTACACACACACACACACACACACACACACACACACATACACACAAATACGTGCGCTCATGTACAGTGCAGTAGACGTGTCTTTTTGTGTTGAGCTTTCCTTGACATTAGGAGCTGAATAGAGATAACAGATTGCATTCTTTAGCTGTAGAATGAGAGAGCACAGATAAACAGGATAAAGGAGAAGGGGAAAGAAAGAAAGGACAAGGATGAATGGCTTTGAAACACCCACACTCACACACACACACACACACACACACACACACACACCACCTTCGTTTACTAGTGAATAGAGGTGTTTGGTGCAGCTTATACCAAAGACATTATTACTAACCACTACAGTATTCAAATAAAACGACTTCAACTACAGCTAAGTTGACTTTAACAATTTGAAGTTGTAAGTTGTTACACACACTTTGCTCTACTATTCAAATGCACTTACATATTTAATGTTAAGTAATGTAACACTTAAAATTGACTCTGTATCAGCAGGTTCAAGTCTGCACTTTTGATGTTTTGTTTGTTCCCAAGTTAGGAAACCCTAGTTCATAAACAAAAAAGTAAATCAAATAATTTAATCCTTAAAGTCGGGAGTTATTATTTTGTTTTTTGAATACTATTTAAATATTATTAGGTACTTATATAATAAAGTACATAATAAATTAGTTACATCCGATTTACATTCTGTGTCAACAGCTTGAAGTCTGCATTTCCACTTGTTTTCAGCAGTCTGCTTATTTCAATGTCAAGAAATGACAAGAGCATAGCAAAAATGTAATGAATGTTTTATTTTGCTTTGCACAAAAGGAGACTTTATGCGCAACAATAACTTTTCATCAAACACAGATGATAATAAAACATCTCCTCTTATAAAGCAGACAGTTCTGCTGCTGAAAATACCACACCTATGGTGTACTGTTTAATAATTTGGGTGTAGCAAAGATGCATGTGTGCTTATTTTAGAGATGAGTTTGTATTTTTTATTTATATATTTTCAAAATCTACAGTAGCTGTATTTCATTACAGTGAGTCAAATACCTTCCCCCAACAACAGGTGCTTTGGGGCACGTCACTAAAACAAACGCAAGTTGTGGTGCAAACAGAGAAAGCGTGTGTGGAGATAGAGGCCCGTTCTGAACCCGAACACAGCCTAATGCTGTTTTTCACTTTAAATAAATCTTCTAACGTAATAATAGCATTTTATCAGCTGCTCTGATTATAATCTCCTGATTATTGTGCGCTCTTACCATGTGACTGTGGGCATGACACAATTGGTTACCACGCCACATATCAACAATCTGATAAGTTGCCACTTAGTTAATTTGCATAAAGTTCATATAGAATGAGAGCAGAGAGAAGATGGGCATCAGTGGTCTAAAGGTTTTATGAATATATTGTCTCTCACCTCATTATAGTGCAGTATGACACAATATGCTTGATGTAAATTATCAAAAAAAATTAACTTAGACTTCTTTTCTAGTGTGAGAAAACAAATGTATTGCACTGTTAGCTTAATGCTAACAGAATATTGGACATTGCATAGAGCATTACCATTGCGGGAATAATTTGGTGAATAAAAATACTCGCCAGGAACTGTTTTTATGCTTATTATTATTTATAGCTTAAGTTATTTATTGAAATTTGTGTAATTTATTATTTTATGCAGTGGTCAGTTTTTAAAAGCAATAAGCCACTTCAGGCCATACATTTCAGTATGGGTGTGAAATCGATTCTTAGATGCATCGCGATGCGGACGTGGACGATTCTCAATCAATTCACCAATGTCAAAAAATCTTTTCTAAATTTTAATTTATAAGGAAATGTTGACGGAACGGAAAAGGCGGAACTTGGAAGTGCGGAAGTGCAGCACCCGGAAAACCTGTAACATTTTTCTGCGGACATTTTCTCAGGATATTCGCCAGCTTTTTGTTTGACTTTTCCCGTTCCACCTTAAATGGTGCAGCAGTCAAGTTCTGAACTGCTGCGCCATTTAAGGAGGAATGGCATTATTCAAAGAAGCAGCCGGCGAAAAAGAAGCTGACTTTAGCTTCCTGGAGGATTGAAAGGCATGATATGAGGAGATTTCTCTATTTCCGCTTAACAGCTGAGTAACATTAACTTATTTTGTTTCACAAAACCGACAGGTCAGTATTTCGTCTCGTTTGCTAATGTTTGTGATAGCTAGTCACAGCTGCTGCACCATTTAAGGTGGAATGGGAACATTCAAACAAGAAGCTGTCGAAAAAAGAAGCTAAATTGAGCCTCGTAGTTTTAACACAGGTCGTATTTTTGATAAGGCTAGGGTTATTTTAGCCTTTTAGCATTTTTCTAAATATCCTACCTAGAGGTTTTATTTACAGGTAAACCTGATACTTGATAAGATAGCACACCTTGTCAGAGTACCGCCACAGCCCACCTCAGTATCGTGTAGCTTAGTGACATCAAATTGATGCGCAGTAGCTTTAGCTCGCATGTAGCAATATTAGTATTACAGCTCTTTAATGACCTCGTAATTCAGGGGATTCAGTGGTATTCGGGAGAAAAACGTACACAGGACAAAACGTATCAGGTTCTGAAAACTTTTATTTAACACAGGGTGCGATAGAGGCCATTTTTCGAAAACCCTATTTATTCTGGCCATAGAGAAATGGAGCTTAGACTAGCTATCTCCACCTGAAAACTTTTCCTCAAAAGTAGATCAGTTTCTTGTAAAATGTTTCTCAGCGTTCGACTATTTTACAAGGCTGCAGTCGCTTGTCATTCGTCAGCTTCTTGTTCGAATTTTCCCGTTCCACCTTAAATTCTGTCTGAGGCGCCAGAATGTAAACCATTTAAGGTGGAACAGGATAATTCAAAAGAGAAGCTGACTTCATCTTCCCAACCTTTTAGTGTTTGACAGTCTCTCATTGCAGGTTTAACGTTCCAGGAAACCAACTGCGCTACTTATAAATGCGAATAAGTCCATTCGTTTCCAAATGTTCGTCTTAAATCTCTTTCTTTGCCTTTTCGTTAGCTACTAGTCAGGTGAGACTGCGTCGATATGTGACCTGCAGTCTGCACGCCAGTTCTCAGTCGTTGAGAGCCAGGGCTTCGCTCTATGTTGCACACTTTGGAGCCGAGATACAGAGTCCCGTCTCGAACATATTTTACTGCCCCCACTCTACAACGAGACCAAAACCGAAGTTACAAAATCAAAAAATTATAAAACGGGAAGGACAGCTGTAACGTGCTGTGTGGACATCTATTGCCATTGGATCTTATGTCACCATAACAGCGCATTTTATCACAGATGAGTGGCAGCCAGT